CACGGTGCATCGGCTGGAGCAAGCGGAAACGCTCAGACCGCCCCCTGTCCTATGCCCAGGCCCTCATCCAGGCAGGCTGCGAGGAAATCATCGAGGCCACCGTGCGCAAACGGAGACTGTTTCGCGGGCTTTGTTATCGCATGGAGGACATCCGCCTCCCCAATCTGCCGCCTCTTTGTCCTGTTTGCTCCGTTACTCCCATGCCCTGGTACCTAGTGCCTGGTGCTGGTACGTTACCCTTTGATTTTTTCTTTAGGCGGGTGTGGGAAGCGTCCTCCTTATTTTTGTTTTTGTTTTATTTTGATCGGTTTCCGAGGGCTCTTTTCTCGAACGGTCGGTGCGGTACCTGTTATTTCCTTTCTATCATTGTTTTCTTTTTCCGAGTGGTTCGTACCCTATTTTTTGTTTTATTACCCCGCGGCGTCGTGTTTGCCGGGTTTTGAGACCACGGGCTCCCCATGTTTTGTGGACAATAGAGCTAACGTGAGAAACAACAACAACAACAAACAACCACGCCGACCGCGACAACTGGCGTGTCGGGGTGTTGTCTTTCAATATTTTCTTTATCTTTACGTCGGCGCCAGCCCCGGATCGCAGAGGGGTACCCCTGCACGTGCTTTTTTTCTTCTCTCCTTCCCTCCTGCTCTGCGATCATGCGGCAAGGCAATCTAACCGTGATTATCGTACATCAGAGGCGGAGAGAATTTCACCCCCCCTAGACCGATTTCCAACGCTCGATTCGATTGCTCCACAACCAAGATTGTCTGTGCCGTACCGTATACCGTATACCGTACCATGGTATTCCGGAAGAGTCGGAGAGATGGCACCCCCTCTAGACCGACTTCCAAAGCTCGATTCGATTGCCTCACAACCAAGATTGTCTGTGCCGTACCGTATACCGTATACCGTACCATGGTATTCCGGAAGAGTCGGAGAGATGGCACCCCCTCTAGACCGACTTCCAAAGCTCGATTCGATTGCCTCACAACCAAGATTGTCTGTGCCGTACCGTATACCGTATACCGTACCATGGTATTCCGGAAAAGTCGGAGAGATGGCACCCCCTCTAGACCGACTTTCAAAGCTCGATTCGATTGCCTCACAACCAAGTGGGGGCGGCAAAGAGCCCGACACACTGTACGTCTACATACGGAAAGACCTGGACGAGACGTTTCCAAAACCACCAGTTTTGGTGTTGGCACATGTGTGGTTGGTTGTGGAGGAATCAAGCATTGAAAATCGGTTGAAGAGGGTGCCATATCTCCGCCTATTACGGTATGTGGTCATGGCGCCGGGGCTGATGTTTAAACGGATTGTTTTTCAACAGGACGCTGGCGTTTACTACGTGCATGCGTCGGTTTTGACTTGTATCGCTGTCTGCCGTCGGCGTAAATTAGGACGCGCGCGTATTTGTCCGTGACGTTGTTCCGAGTGGGTCCTTCGAGGACAGCAGCGGCGTCGTGCTGCTGGCCATTTTTCTCAGCTGCCCGCTTGACGAATGTTGCTGTCCTGCAGTACTCTTTAAGCTTGTTCTTGGCGTGCGGCGCCTTTTCCCCTGTTCTCCTCTTGTGTGTTGATTGCCCTTCCCGTCATGTTCTTCTTCTTCTTCTGCTGCTGCTGCTGCTGCTGCTGCTGCCTCTGCTCTCCCCCCTCGGTTGATAAAACCCAATGACTCCAGGATGATTTCGCGTGGCAAGTTATCGTCGTGCAGACTCGAAGAGACCACACGGGCATCACCAAACAACAGGTAGGCTGAAAACGAGCGCCAGCCAACTGTATACATCGTCTTCTCTCAATCGCCTTGACGTAAAAGTAAGTACCATGTGATTACGAGAATGGAGATGCCGCGGCGAGATATCCGGGGGTCAATGGGGAAGATATTGCCCCTCGTCCAGGGACGGATCCTATCGAGAGATTGGAATTTTGCGAGCAGTTGCAAAGGATACCAACGCCCTCTTCATATGTTTTTGTTAGAACCACAGTCGTTTCACCCTCCATAGGGCATGTTATCTACAACAATGGGTTTAGAAACCCGTCGTGTCGAAGTGCAGACGGCGACCCCGCCCCCTCAATGCCCCGTGTGTATGGTCCGTTGGTGTACCTCCAATAAGAAGTAGAGCACCCCCTCCCCATCTTTCCTGTAACGTAGCACGAAACAGGGCGAGCGTGAGGGAAACGAAGGCTCCAAGGAAAAGCAGGAGCGTGCAAACAAGGCACCCGTCAAACATCAAACACAAAGCGGTTACGAAACATCTCCTCCCTCGACTCGAGCCATGTGCCACCTTTCGCTGCAAGTATGTACTCTCCAAACCTGAAAATTACAAAAATACCCAAAACAAAAACACAACCAACACCCCTAATTCACATCTCCTCCACCCACCCCCCTCCGATAATTTGATGCCTTTCCTTGCCTATGTATCGACACGCTAATGCCCTTTTTTCTCTGAACAAACTCTCCCGCCGCCGCCGCCGCCTGCCGCACTCAGGAGCTACCGCTTCAGATCACCATCACCTACGGAGACGAGAAGGTCTCTACCCCTCTCGTGCGAGCGAGACAGCCGCTTTGGAACTTCTGGACCCAGCTGCCAGACAAGGGGGGGTCGGAGGGTATGGTGTTTTCTCTTGTCGGCCGGGACAGCTCGACTGGGAAAATGTGAGTGCTCTCTATATATATATACATACATGCTGTGTTGGCCAAGATAGAAGACAAGAGGTACAAAGACCACTTCGTCAGTAAGATAACGTTGTTTGCATTGTTTTTTTCTCCATCCTCGCCTCTTCATCCTCTAAGTTGCGAAACGTCGCCCGTGGTCCCACTACCCACGCCACCGCTGGTGAATTCCGCCGCACTCGCGTCGCGGTGAGTTTCGACCAATAGTAGGGCAGCACCATCTGCAGGTCCACCTCGAGCAGATGGAGTGGTTTGGTGCGGTCTAAATGCGTTTCTTCAATGAACGGTTTCAAGAATCATGTTTGAAAACACTAGAGGTTTTGTGCGTGGGATTTTGGAGGATTCGGAGTTCGTGAGGGTCTGTGTAAGAAGAGAGTAGGCCACGGCGACGGGTCACGAATAGCTGAATATCCAGGTTTGGTGATTAGTTTTTATATTAGCACTGCTGTAATCTTAACATCGGTGGGGCGTGATGTTCCGGACAGAAATATTGATAAATCTCTTATTTGTTCTTCAGCAACGTCATTGGTATGCACAACACAACTGCAAACCAAAGAGTCTTCGTCGAAATATTCATAGCAACTTCTCTCGGACCTTCATCCTGCTGTCCACGTTCCATCCCGCCTCTGGTCCTCTCTGTTTCTCTTCCCGCGTCTCCATCTTCTCCGGTCCGTGACAACCTACCATAACGCCTCTTCGTTTCCGATGACCCCCCCCCCCTCCGTAGTTCGGTGGAAGGAGAGGTGAGGCTCGATCTTTCCAAGTTTCGGCGGAGTGGCCAGAGCTTCGAGCTGTGGGAGGCGCTGTACCCGACCAAGGCGCGGGGGGTCTTCCCGATGGTCGTTAAATCCGCCCGCCCGGCTGATTCCACTGCGGAGGTCCACCTCACCATCACCTACTGCCCGAATACCCAAAAGAAGGTGTGTAACACAGTATGAACTCGTAACCCCGAGCCAAGTGGCGCAGGCCTAAGTTGCAGCCACGGTGTTTAGGTGCGCATATTTCAGTAGAGGTGCTACCAGCCTCGATGTTTCGTTCGCATATGTTGGTAGACGTACCTTTCCAGCCTCAGTGCTTAAGGTAAGATGTATGTATGTGTCGTTTAGACATGGTGCAAGCTTTAGCTTCAGTGTATCGCTTCGTTCCTGCGGTATGCAAATCACGCGTCGGACAATACAATGCGTAAAGCTTGTTGGTGCAGTCAACTTGTATCGGAAAGTTCACATAAATTGATATTGTTTGGTTCAATATGTCAGGAATACATCCATCGACATGTACTACTTGCATTACCATGTTTCGCCTATTGTGAGCAATACGTATCAATGTTTAAATAGGCTCGAAATACATCATTCCGACGACGTTTGCAATATGCATTGATCTTAAACACGGTCTGGCAAAAATCGCTCCGATATATATTGCTGCTACCGGTACGTTCGGTTGTATTATTCCGATAGGATATTGTTCGGCAATACGGCGCCGCGGAAATCGATACGCTCCGTTGTAACACATGTATTCTGTATCGATGAATTCAGTTGTAAACGTATTTACGCGGACAAAGGTATTGATCGCTACGGTTATGAACATGTTGTTGTTCCAACATATATCGATCCAAGTCAGCAAAAAATGTACTGTATCCCCGATAGTCCATTGACGGACAACACCAACGTATGCCGATCGTGAATCGAAACGATACGTATCGATAGACTTGTAGCTAACCTGTTTCGTGTGCAAAGGGGTATTGTTTCCGTTGCTCTAAATCTATTGTTGCTCACAACACGTATCGATGCACCTGGAATCAACATATTTGTGACAGCAATTGGCATCGGTTACCGAAATTTAAACTCTATTGTGGGACCAATAATCAATTAATACATGTATTGTCCAGGGTGTAAGTGAACTCTGTCGAGCCCTCGACAGGCTGTTTTCCTCGTGTCCCTAACCTTTTGCCGCCTACAACATGTATGTGGTTGTGCAACAATCATTTCTCAACGCCTCTTAGACTACATACATGCGATGAAATTCAGAATCGAACACATTGGTATCTGATATGCATCCGAGATCATCATGTGTTTGTCACTTTGTAACTCTGCCCCCCGGCGTTTCGACGCATTGCACCGCCGCCATGCACCACCAATAGATATCGACAGAACAAATTATTCTCCAGGTATGCAATAGGCGTGCACGTATCGGTACGTTTGTCAGGGCAGTCAATCGGGCACATTGTAAAAAAAAAAATGGCAACGACACGTATCGGGGGAGCAATAGACATGGTGTGTGTATCGATAGATATTACCAAACGGAATACATCGCTCTTTCGTGGATCGATACATGTTATATCCAACACGTGTTTCCGTCGATGTATTTCATCACATGCACAGCACCCTTTTTGAATGAACGTCGAACGATAAACATTGGCCCTTGTAATGCGTTGTGAAAGGGCATGCTATCGTATATCGTAGCAAGCAGTAGGTACACAAACGCTCAATCGATATGTATTTCCCCGAACGATACATTGTGAAGATATTTGTCAATGCGTATGACGGCCACCAGTACGTGACGGATTACGATAGGAACGTATCAATATCCATCGGCTGTACCATTGTATATTGTCCAGGGTGTAATAATGCATAGTCTACCGCAGGACAAAGGGATTGGCGTAAGTAGCAGGCAGTTACAGCGCAGTAGGCGGCGGTGCTGTAATACCGCTGCCGTAGCGATGATGGTGGAGTAAGTAGCAGGCAATTCTCTACCCGCTGTTGCTGCACAGCCGAGGGTCGATCGCAGTGGAATACTACAGCCCATTTCTTGCATCTTTGGTAGATGGACAAGCGACATCTCTGCTAAGGGCGGCCACCAATCGTCCTCGCTCGTCCGGGAGTAGTTTCCCAATCGGTACGATACGTTGTATGGCCCGTGAGCAACGGCGAAAGGTTGTTGTTGTTGCCCCCCCCCCCCCCGGCATTGTAGGGATGCGAGGTTAAATGATCTAATGTCTATACATTCGGCCTTCGTTTTCTTGAATACACCCCTACCCCCCTTACCCCCCTCCCGCGTGTTCGTTGTTTCGATCTCGGCAGGATATACCCGAAGGCGAAGACACGGATTGCCTGATGTGCGCAACGTTTGCAACGTTCGGATTATCTCGAGGGTCATGCTCGATATCGTAAGGGGCGCCGCGGTCTGGATCACCAAGGGGGGGGGGTGCCGTCCCCTGCCGGATCGCTTGACCGGCGCACGCTTACGGCTGCTGATGTCCGGCCAGGCGTGCGCCAAGCGCGAAAAGGGCGGGCGGGATGTGTATGTATCGCGAAAGGCGCGCCTAAGAACAGGGGCTCGGCGCTTGTCGCCCCCTCCTTTGTAAGGCCGGTGTGCCCACCAAGCTCTCGTCGCCTCTTGTCCCGCCCCGGCCCGATTCGCGTTTTTCATCTTGGTCCGGGCACGAGGGCGCGCATGCGGTGTTTTTTGTTTATCTGGCTTTGTGCTAACGCTTCGTCTGTGGTGTGTGCCGCTTATCCAACCCCATCTGGTTGGAGGTGGCAATCTGGTGGAACCCCTAGAGGGTTATATATATATAAAGACGGCAAAGAATAGTGGGAAAGAGGGGCGTGGGCTTCGCTTCGCTGCGGCATGTATGTCCAATTGCCTTTGCGTCTGGTTTTCTTTCCTTCAGGCACACCTCCCTAGTCCTGCTTGAGGGCGGTGGATGGGCATGCTTAGCCCATGCTTGTATTTTGAAAGTTGTTTCACTAGGAGCGTGGAGGAGCATGTTTAGTATCTGGAGGGGTTCGGGGGTCACCGTGTTTCATTTCGGCGGGGTACGAGAGGGGGGGNGGGGGGGGGGGGGGGGGGGGGGGGGGGGGGGGGGGGGGGGCGCGAAATCCACACTATTACGTGAAATTAAGTAGAGCCATCGATCGACAACAGGAGAGATGGTTGGTGGGCTTCAGTGACATTGGCAAGCCTTTAGAGGCATATTGCGGTAGCTCGCTGTCTGGATGACGCCTATCCTAGCCCTTTGCGTAGGAGGTGCAGACAGGAGATATTTCCCAAGGAGGAGCACGGTATTTTGTTGTCTACGCTGGTTGCTGGCAGATACTCGCAGGGAAGCCCGGCTATAGCGTACCGACTGCTTGTAAATTTGTGCTTTTGTGGAAGTTTTTTGTTTTTGGTGAGTAGTGGAGCGCGGCGTGATCGTTTGGTAAGAGTGCAATGGGACCGACCGCCTATTAGTGCCCTGAGGGGGAATAGATGGCGCTGCTCTTAATCCGCAGGTCTGGTGTGTTTTCCGTGTGCGTGTTTCCTTACTATTTTTTGTCTCTTTTCTTTCGTTTGTTTCTGGTCGTTCCTTAATAGTTGTACTGCGTGCTTTGGTTGCGGACACACGACGCGGTGTACCGGTTGCTGTATCAATAGTGGTCCCTCCCACTGCGGTGTGGCGGTTTGCTTTTGCGCACGAGCATAAAGGGTCCCACAGTGAGTCCTGCTGCGTATGGGGCTCTGGTGGTATCTTGTGTAGGGGGGCGGTGAGACTTGGCTTTTGTGTGTGGAGGAAGGTGAGCCTTCACTTAGAGGGTTTGTCGGTGCCGCCGCCTCATTTGCTAGCCGATGACAGACTTTTGTGTGCCGGGGTGCGAAGTATGTGGATAATGCGCGTTCTCGCTACATACCGCCCATCGATGACATACTTTTGTGTGCCGGGTGCGGAGTTACTTGTAGTTGTGGGAAAATACGTATTACTTTTCTGGTCGACGACAGGCGTTTGTGCGTGGGTGGGGAGTTGTTTGTGGACCAAGGCGTTTTTCATTTCCTCTCGGCCCCCGGCGCACCGAGCCATGTCGGCCAGCCTGCGCCGTGTATTTATCCTTTGCTCTGCCGCGAGATGGCTCCCCTTTCGAGAATGGTGTGTACTTGCAAACGAAACATGAGAGATAGGTGGAGGTTCAGAGAGCACCGTGTTGGCCTTTGGTACGCGGTGAAAATGCGTAACTTTGTAGCTTCCAACACCACGGCGGGCTCTACAGGAAGAACGGCGCTCTTGATGGCGACACGAAACTCCTCTTTGCAGCCTTGAGACACGGCGGAAGGATGCGATGTTGTTGCGGTTTTTAACGTTTGAGTGGCGTTTGTTGTGCAGGCGTTGGCACGACAACGAAGTACATCTGTTGTTCTGCGCCTTGAAGCACCACATGCGTGTGGATGCAACGGTTTAGTGTGCGCCCCAGAGGGTAAAGAGATCGCGCGTTAAAATGAACTCTGGTGCACATCCCATCCATTTTTTGCCGAAAGGCTGAGACATGCGGCAACTCGTTCGTTCGTGTGCCAACACACATAAAATAACTTTTGTTCTTGACGGCTGCGAACACCACACCACATTCCGAGATCGTGATCAACCGACGGTCTCGGCAGTCACAGCATGCGCGAAAAATGACTTGGGGTGGGTCCTCAGTCACATTTAATCCGTCCGCCTCTTTCGCCATAACTGATTCAATTCGTCCGTTGCAGGGTGTGCTCAGGAACTCAGCATTCGGCACGCACTCCAGCGCAGGAAGCCTCACCCCGCTTCGATGACCTCTAGCTCCGCTCGAGGATAAACACTGCCATTTTCAAGAGCACCACATCCAGCCCACATCAGAGTGTGCGCCACACACACACTATCTCCACCTCATTTCTCTCTGTAAACATTTCCGCACAAAGTCTGTCTCCTCTGCCCCTCGCTCCTCCCCGAGCCAGAGTCACAACTGGCCGGTGCTGCCAGCTCCCGTGGGCCCCTCCTGCCCGACGTAGCGAGGGTCGTCAAAGACGGTCTTGGCACCGGCTCTAAACTCGACCTCGATCAGCCGGTCGCGAGGCGTCACGCCATCCCGGGCGCGGTCCCCACCGCCGGCGGGCTGGCCGCGGCCCCATTGCCACCGCCCGGCCGCCGCGGAAAGCCGTAGGTTCTCGAGCGCCACGTCCGGGCAGGGGATCTTCTCCCCCGCCGCCGTTTCGCAGCAGTTCTCCGTCTGCCACTGCCGAACCGACCGGGAGTCTCGACACGCTTCGGCAACCTCGGGAGACAAGGAGCACCTGCGAGTGAGTTCAGTGAGTCTTCAACATCAGTCTTCGAGTTAATCTTTGCGGCAGTGGCCGCGCGAGAGCAGTATGTACGGACCCGCAGCTAAGAACAGAGGCTCAACTCTTCACGAAAAAACAAAAATATATACTCGAGTACACAGGTCTACATACCACACAGCGGCGGATCCTATGTAAACCACACTCAATAGACTATAAGATCTTGTTTTTCACAGTCGCGATGAAATATGAAACTCAACCTCGACGCTATTTTGTAGTACTTTCTTGTTTGCGGGCCCGTTACTCTGTGCTCACTCTGGGCCCGGCACGACGAGAGCATGGCATACGGTTGTTCTGGTCGGACTCTAAGCATGGATCGTGGTGGGCGTTTTCCTTACTCGTGGGCTCGGAAGTGTCCGGCTTGGTATCACAAAAATAATCCAGAAGACAACAAATAACTAATATAGACGACAACCTCAATAGGGCGTTACGTGTGGAACCCAAGATATTCAGTTCGTTGTGTGTATTGCGGTTCCAAAAACTAAAACTAAAACCACCCACAATCCAAACTTATTCGTTCCCCGTCAATGTATCGAACCCTCAGCTTCGTTCATGAAAGTGCTCAGATCTGAGGCAGGTATCACGGAAACAACCCAAAAGATGAAAAACAACCTCACAAGGGTGGTACGTGTGGACCAAAGGACATGTACGTCGTTGTACATCGAATTCGGCCATTAAAGAGCTCAGACCTGAGGCAGGTTTCGCATATTCTGTCCTCGCCAGAAGTCCGACATTCTCGGCTCTCGTACTCCGCATCCTCGCACTCCGTGCAAGCCTCGCAAACTCGGTCGGACGCCTGCTGGCACTCTCCTATCTCACGCGTCCCGAAAGCGCACGGTGTGCAACCTTACGGTGTGGCATGTCGTGGATCATGAGGACGGCGGGTGTGGGGTCGTAGAAAGCCCAGAAGAATTGCAGAAAGAATGGTGAATATTACGTCGAAAGGGAGGGTCGATAGGGAAAGAGGAGAGATGCAAATACTTCGGGGTCGAAAAGGAGATCTAGATGGGGTTTGTGTTTTTTTTTCCTTCTTGGCTGCTCACGACCCAGTGCACCTTCGCCGGGAATTCATTGGAAGTGAATTCTTTGCGTCATCACAACACCTTCCCTCTACTGGATGACCCCCTGCACCATGACAATGTCGCAGGAGAAACGTCGCAGGCTGCGTGATGGACGAAATTACTCACGGTGACAGTCGAGGTCGGTTTCGGCTGTGCACGGGGACAGGACGAAATGATCCCCTCCCGCGCAGGTCTCCGCACAGGTTGCACACACCGCGTCGTATACCTCCGTGCAAGGCTCTGATCGATAGGTCCCGTTCCCGCAAGGTTGGCAGTCTGCGCAAAAACAGTACCAAAACAACCGTCGTTGGTAATTATGACGTGGCGGTATATTTTTACTTGGAATGAGGTTCGTGGTGGTCATTCGACGCGAAGGATTAGAACGTAGGGAAAATGCCATAAAATAGGAGAAAGAGAGCTGGCGATGGGTTGTGGCGGGGAACACAGTGTTGCTCTGGAGAGAGGAATCGATGGGTTACAATTTCTGTTTTTTTTTGTCGATCCAGCCAGTGTTACTGCAGGCAATGGCCATCCGTGGGAGTTCGTGCGAACAGAGCATATCGCATAGTTAGACGAAGCTGCAAGTGGGTCGAACGTCTTGCGAATTGAGATTTACACGGAAAAACGATGATAGCAAAAGCTGCTCAGTAGAGAGTATACAGTGTGGGGATCAGGTGATGTCATCACTTCCCAGAAAAATCCAACAAAGGAATTGTCTACCGCGGGGAGAAGCTTCTGAGACACGTCGGCTACCTTATTGACGAGGGAGACGGGGCTGCAATTATTTTTTTAGTGATCAGATCGAGGGCGTAGGAATTCTTCTGGATGACTCCGGGTGGTGGCCCCTACGTCAAGAAAGGTGATTCCGTGCGGAAATAGACACCGTAAGAGACGGGAAAAAACGTTTGTAGTCTGCACAGCCAACGCGTCGAAGCACTGAGAACCCTCACGTCACGCGTACCTGGAAAGCTTTCCTCTAGGTCTACCACGGCGACCAAAGGGTTAGCCGCTGCGGACAAATCTGTCACAAGGCTAGACGTGGCGTTGAGGACGAGAGACACGTTGTTGTTGGTCGCGCTCCTGATCGCCGCTCCTCCGGCATCATCATCCTCGAGCAGCACCCCGGCCGCCACAAGCATGCTCCAGTCGCTGGGGTACCCGCCGACGAACGCTTCGGCCGTGGTGGTGTTGGCTTCATCTTCGGGAAAAGTCCCATTCGTCGCGTTGTAGGTCGTCACCACCGCCTCCACGGCACACGGTTCGTCCAGGTGGAGCACGATCTCCCGTCGGCTGGCGCTATTGCTGCTCCCTGTTCTTCGACCAAGCTCCGCCGAGGAGCAGAGCAAAGAGGACGCGTTTGATGGGGAGAGCCAGGTACTGTTGGAGGACAAGGACAGGGATAGCGCCGAAGGTTGTAGAGTCGACAAGGCGTCGACCCCTTCGGAGAAGAAGAGAACCAGCTTTCGTTCCGTCCAACCCAGGGTGAATCGATTCATAGTCGGTCTTCTCGTTTTTGGACGACGGGACGCCCGCATCGTGCACGACGCACACACACAGAGCCAGGGCCCACATTTGGAACGTAGAAAGCAGGATGGTGATGGCGTTTGAGGGGGGGGGGG